ATTTTTCAAATCATTCTGCATTTCTCGACGAGTTGAAAATAAATTTTTCTTCACAGTACGGGAAACGTATCGCTCATTAGCCTCATTTAAGATACGGGGACGACCACTTCTTTGAATGTTTTCAATACTATCGAATTTTTTCCATTTTCGAACAACAGTACCAACTGAACTCACAAGCAAATTCAAATCTCGAGTGATTTTTCTATATCCCTTATCATCTTTGTGATTCTTTATGATCTTCTTGCGCATGTCGTTCGACAATTCTTTTGTTTTCACCATTTTCTTGCAGTAGTGGCAACAGAATATCTGCAGTGTCTCAGAGCTGTTATCTAATAGCCAGTTGAGTGTCGTGCAATGCTGTCATTGGTCGACATATCACATCATATCAATATGGGTAGGAATCATGACGACACGTCTCTTCTAGCATAATATTTGCATTGGTGTTAAATACTTTTGCATATGGGTAATTTCATCTATTATTAATAAATGTTTCTCAAAACAGTTGTTTTAAATTTTCCTTCTATGTTTTGATCGACAATGTTCGTTTAAATATTTCCTATAAGTTTCGTTGAAATTAACCTGTTATTTTTTTAGAAATGTAAGAAAAACCAATGTGTTAAATACTTTTGCTACCCACCGTATATATATACAGGTAGTAATCCGTTGGTATATAATCCAAGTGTACCTATTAACACAAAATAAAATATTAGATATTAAAACTGACTCACACATAGACCTAAATGTTTTTTATAATAAACAGAGCAATATATTTCATATAACCGTAATTAAAATACCATTATGTGAATAACCATTTTCACCTAGTAAAATTAAATTTACGGAATTTCTCAAACAGTCAACGGATGATATATATATATATATATATATATATATATATATATATATATATATATATATATATATATATATAAACAGAGCATTTACTTAAATACTTGTATCTATAAAAAAGACCGTTAAACATAAAAATGTCTCTAATAAATATATATATATATTGAGGCATGTTTTGTTGAATAATTTGGACATGTTCTGTCAACTTATTTTCAAATAAGTTTATTTTGGATCCTTTCATATTCACGGGTATGATTTTTGGTGTTGCTTTTGAAGGACGGGAGAAAATCACCCTGTTGCTATATATTTTTTATTCCGAGTACTTTTGACATAGCACAATGTCATCATCATGGTATTGTTTATTGCAAGACAAATATTGTAGTGTTCATTATTGTCGAAGACAAAATTGTTGCGTTCATCTGAAAGTTAAATCTTTTACTTGTAGAGTGAAGAACGATGAGTCGTGATCGCTTGACACCGCTTCAGGAGAAATAACTCTGTCTGGTTGTGGAGTGTTTTTACGAAATAAGTAGTAAAAAAACAACTATTATATACATTTATTAAAGACATTTTTATGTTTAACGTTCTTTTTTTTTTTTTTATAGATACAAGTATTTAAGCAAATGCTCTGTTTATAATAAACAGTATTAAATAACATTTACCGGCCTGAATGTCCAAGAAATTTTCATAGAAAATATTCGTTCATAGACAGGATTCGAACCTGCATCCTATACGGAACCGTCATTTACGCTGACGTGCCTTACCGACCAGCCACAAAGGAGCCTTCGATAGGCAAGGTCGAATTTACTGCTTATAAACTTCAATCTTCCATGAATCTCGTACATTCATAACTGCTCTGGCGTATCGAATGTAAACAAATGACGTCATATATTAAGAAATGGACAAAGTCCGACAATTTATTTATTAAAGACATTTTTATGTTTAACGTTCTTTTTTTTTTTTTATAGATACAAGTATTTAAGTATATATATATAATTTTATCATTTAAGATTTTGATTTATTTAATTTGTATTTTACAGATGTCTAATGCAAGATAATTTTTTTAATTTTAAATTTATAGGATATAAACCATATAAAATTTTATTTGATTAGCACTATATGCCTTTTTTCTCGGCATTTGACATAGAAATAGCGACAAAGTAGCGAGAGGTTTGCATCTTTGTGCCTGTGGGAAAGATGTCACAGGTGTTGAAATTACGCCTACTTGAGTATCATAACAGTGTCGCACGGCCATCAAAATATCGATTGGATGCCATAATGTTTTTTTTTTTCGTTCCTTTTTACATGACTGTAGTCACGTGACCGTGAACAAGGGCGATGGAATATTTGATTTGCCACTTTCAAAGACAATTTCAAAGACAAATGATGCGATGATACATTAAAAAAAAATTTTTTTTTTTTTTTTTTTTTTCGAATGTTGCTCTTCAACTGTTCAAATACTTTTCCGTTATATGAAGCCGAAAAAATGGTGGGAGTTGAAAAAAGATGGGGAAAACTTTTCCTTGATTGTGGTGTTTTTATGTTTCTTTTCTTCGTTTTTTTTTTTTTTTTTTTTTTTTTCTTTTCATTTTTGGGTCGTTAAAGAGACATTGAGTCCCACTTCCGAAGAATAAATTGTCCAGAACTACTTCCGATGTTACAAATCCTCTCCCCGGTTTTATCTCTCGCTGTTCTCTATAGTTTTTTTTTTTTCACTTTCTCTCTCTATCTGTCTGTAACTCCCTCCTATCTCTCTCTCTCTCTCTCTCTCTCTCTCTCTCTCTCTCTGTTTTACTGTCTCTCTCTTTTACCTTTTCCTTTATCAATTTCTTTCCTAATGAGTACACTTCGAATTCACTACCTCATATCTATCTATCTATCTATCTATCTATCTATCTATTTATCTATCTCGATCAGTTCATGTCTATCTCATTCTGTTAATATCTATCTATCTATTTATCTCGTTCTTTCTCTTTTAATCGTTTTTTCTCAATTTCTGTCTCTGTTACTTTCGACCTCTATTCTCTTTATGCGTCCTTTCTTTTCATTTCCTCGTTACTTTCACTCTCTTTCTCTCTCTTTATCTATCTATCTATCTATCTATCTATCTATTTATCTATCTATCTATCTATCTATCTCGATCAGTTCATGTCTATCTCATTCTGTTAATATCTATCTATCTATTTATCTCGTTCTTTCTCTTTTAATCGTTTTTTCTCAATTTCTGTCTCTGTTACTTTCGACCTCTATTCTCTTTATGCGTCCTTTCTTTTCATTTCCTCGTTACTTTCACTCTCTTTCTCTCTCTTTATCTATCTATCTATCTATCTATCTATCTATCTATCTATCTATCTATCTGATTATCTCATTCTATATATCAGTTGTAGTTTCCTTTCTCTTCCTCTCTCTTTCATTGTCTCCCTGTCTCTTTATCTCTCTCTGTTTATTTCTATCCATCACTTCCATTCTTTTCATGTACTTATCTTTTTCATTTCTACCATAATCTCTCTCTCTCTCTCTCTCTATCTATCTATCTATCTATATATATATATATATATATATATATATATATATTTTCCTAGTTTTTTTTTATTCATTTACTCTCAATCTTTCTATATTCTCTCTTCGCGCGCTTTCTTCATACTTTTGTTTTACTTTTTATTCTTTTTTGTTTTCGCCAAAAACCAGAAAAGTTTTTATAATATTTCTTTCATTTTCTTTGTCAGTCCATTCAGTTATCGCATCTTTTTTCCCTTTTTTTTATTCTTTCTTTTTTCTTTCTTTCTTTTTTCTTTTGTGTTTTATTCTTTCTTTATTTTCTTTCTTTTTTTCGTTCATTTTCCTTGTGTATTCATTTAATTATTGTATCACCCTTTCATTGTTTCTTTCTTTCTTCCTCCCTTTCTTTTATATTTCTTTCTATCTTTCATTGTTTGTTTCTTCCTTTCTTTCATTTTTCTTTCTTACTTCCTTTCTTTTATGTTTCTTCGTTTGTTTGTTTTAATTTCTTTCTTTCATTTTTTCTTTCTTCTTTTCTTTATTTCTTTTATATTTCTTTCTTTTTTCACTTCTTTCTTTCATTTTTCATGCTTATTCATTTGGTACACTCGCATCTCCTTTTCTATATTTATTTCTCTTTCTTCCTTTCTTTTATATTTCTTTCTTTCTTTACTTCTTTCTTTCATTTTCCTCGTGTATTCATTTAATGATCTCATCTCGCTTTCTGTTTTTATTCATTTCTTTCTTTTTCTTTCTTTTTTCTTTCTTTCTTTCTGATTTCCTTTTTTTCTTTCATTCTCCGTTTTTAATCTTTTGTTGTTTTTTCTTTTTGTCTTTTCTTTTTTCGTTCTTTATTTTATCTATCGTTTTCATTCTCTTTTCCTCCATTTTTTTTTTTTTTTTGCAATGTCCTTCACTTGTTTTTTTTTTTATATCCCCTAAACTTCTCTGCTTGGCTTGAAGCCAAACGAGAGGTAATGAGCAGTGTGATGAAATTATGTTAAATGAATCTGCTATGTGGGAAAAGTGTACTACGCTGAAATTAACATTCAAAACACTAGCTCATATGTGGGCTTGCTGTCACCATAGAGAATAGAATAATAATTAATCACATTCCTAGATGGAAACTTTTGACACTCATTGACTGAACAACCAATGCTACTTTTGTTTAAAATTTATAAAATATTTCTATATTTCACCTCAAGCAAGGTAGTAAAGCCACTAAGGCACACATGGTTACTCAGTGTGAAAGATTTAGAAAGCAGAAGCATTATAGAGGAACGAGAACAATAGAAGAGTAATCAGGAAGACATTAGATAACGATTGTCGTTGCATTTAAATTTTTAAAGGTCAAAGTTGACTGGAAAGCAAGAAACCAGAAGAGAGTTTCTACAAGCGAGAAGTGCGAGAAAAGAAAGTGTCATCAAAAATTTATGGTTAAATCTAACCAATTCAACAGTAAATTGATAAAATCTTGCCACCAATCTACAACTTAGATTAAAAAAAAAACTGAGTGCCATTACAAAGAACTCATCAGAACAATTACCATGAAAGTATTTATAGAAAATGCACAGGGAAGTAATTTACGGCGATGGGGAAGTGACTCAATCCGAGACGTGGGGCGTTTGGTAGATATCCTGCAATTGTAGATTCATTTCCAGCTGTGCTGGTCAAACTCTCTGCCTCTGGGAAAGGTTTTATACGGGGTCGACGGGGGATTTTTGACCAAGTCTACAGGCCCGAATGCCCCACATTAAATTCGGCCTAGTGCCACATCTGACCACATTCTAGCGAGGAAATTGTCTAGTGCGAAAAGAGTGAACCAACATTGTTCGACTGGAGGAATTATAAAGGCACACACACACATCGGTCAGCCACGAATTATATGAAGTTGTGGAGAGCCATGAACCGGTACATAAATAAAGCAGATTTGCACTTACAGCAATATTAATATATTATTTTCATTTTTCTTCACAATTACGAGATTCTGGCTGCGTGTGATCCATTCGAAATGCTATAAAAATTTGATCTTTTTATTCTTTAAAATAGAGTCTGGTTTTTATATATATACCATTGCTTTGCACAGTTCCTTATGATTCGCCTTTCCTACCCAGTGGATATATATTGTATATTGTATTCCAAGCCAGTTCACTGTATTTTGCTTATTATTCTCTTTATGGCATAAATAACAGTTTTTACATTTAGTGTTGTTTTTTTTGGGGGGGGGGTTGCGTCACATCTGTGTGACTCTCTTTCTCCCTTCGGCAATTATTGTTTATTTATATTAAATAATTTAGAGTAAGTATGCATTTTTCAGGCCTTTACTTTCTTGTCGGTGTCCAGTCTGTTGGTCACGGGGACTTTTAGCGAGATGAACACAGATATGATGAGATGTGGACTGAATATTTAAGGATTCCATACCACATCTCAAATGAATATATGTTGAGATGTTGTGAGTTTCCCGCGTGTGGGTGTATGAATCAAGACAAACACAGTTGCAGAGGAAAATACTGGTATATTCGTAAAAGCAATTAACAATAGAGTGATTAGTAGAACGAAGGTTGGTTAGTACGAAACAATATCCAAAGTCTATAGTCCAACGGTATGTAACGGGTAAGCTTATCTGAGTATTTATCATTTCACCCACGGGAAACGAATATGGCACAAGGCCGGTTTTATTGTGGGTATCCCCGAGCCCGTAGGCTCGGCCAAAAAAATAGCCTTTGAAGCCGATTAGACGGGTTCAGGCCCTGTCTACCTCCCCGGACGAAACCTTGCCCTTCGGCAAAGCCTCGTCCGGGTTCCTCTCTGCTAACGCAGAGAGTTCGACAGAAGGCGTGCGCAGTCAAAGACCGCGAGAAGCTTATCTGGACTGCTGACGCTCTCTCGTCCTCTCTCTAGAGCTGACTTATATAAGAGGGACCAGTCCATTTCTAGTTAGAAGGTGGGTGCGCCCCAACAATATAACCAACAGAAGACAATGATCCTGTTTTCCCTTCCAAGGCTAAGCTATTGATGATTAAGGGAAAATGCTGATGACATAGATATTCATAGTTGGGATAAGAATGATCTTGAACAGAAAATCAACATCCTCTACGAAGTGTTCCAAGAAATAGGACTCAAGATAAACTTTGCCAAAACAGAAACATTGATCTGGAATTAGAATGAAATTAATGGTGACACCTACTCTGAATCTATCTTTAAAAAAAATCAGAATGAAGAATTAGTAAATACCAAAAACTTCAAATAACTCGGCGTATAACTCGTAATTCTAAACATTCTTCCTGTGTATTCTTACACAGGAAGAATGTTTAGAATTTTGTGAAGAATTTTAGCTTTTTTTTTCTTGGTTTAAATTTAGAGAAAATGAAATTGAACATAAAATCGGTTGCGCCAGCGGTAGTTTTACCCAAACACCGTAAATTGCTATAAAACTGAAACATCCACCTGAAAAATGGAATCATGATTTTAAAAACCCTCGTCAGATAAAGACTTTCATATGGATGTCAACCATGGCCCCAAACCCTTTAGGAAATATATAAACTGTCAGATTTCTAAGATCAATGTTTAAATGTTTTTTTCATTTCTTCTCTTGGTTGTCATAATTAACCTTACGCTGGTCTATCTTGACCATTTAAGAATTCCATAGCACATCTCAAACGAATCTTGTGCATTTGTTTCTTGGCTTAATTCTTTGATGAAATTTATAAATGTTAGCCGTAAATCTTTTTGCCATCAACCTTTTTGTTTTGTGGCCCAAATTTAGTAGTACTTCTTTTGTTCAGTTTAGGAAGTGTCCCGAATAACCCATAATTTATCCTGGCCATGTATTTATTTATTTCTGCTTTAGGTTCCGACATTTTTTCTTGCTCCTATATATTCCAGGCTGAGCGTTTACTTTCAGTGTGTTCTTCTTGACTGAATCCACATCCAGTATTGTGTGCTTTTATGTTGAGAACGCAAAGTTTTCAGACAGCAGAGTTCTTGAAATATATATCTCTGCATCGCTAGGAACCAGAAGGTTTCGCTTTATTTACTGGTTATTTTTACGCTCTTTCTGCTGTAGAATTCTTCAGGAAAGAAAATGAGGAAATATGAACGACACCAAAGAGATTCTTTGAAGTCTATCATCATTTTTTTTTTATTCTTTGATGAAATTCAAAAAATGTAAGCCTTACACAGGAAGAATGTTTAGAATTTTAGGAAGAATTTTAGCTTTATTGTTTTCGTTTTTATATCGTGTTTTCTCTGTTCTTTTTCTTTTTTTCTTTCTTTCTTTTCTTTTTTATGTCGTTTTTATTTATCTCTTTATTTCATTCCTTTATTCATTCCTTCATTCTTTCAGTTTTTTCTTATTCTTGGTTTATTTTTTCATTTAATTTTTTTTTTCAAATTCTTATTTCTAGAAATTCCTCTCTTTCTTTCTTTTTGTTTCTTTCTTTTTCTTTCTTTCTTTCATTCTTTCTATTTTACTACCACGTTCTCCATTGTATCTAGTTTTAATATTGATTTTTTATTCACCTCCATTCTTCCTCCCTTTCTTTCTTTCTTTCTTTCTTTCAATCTTTCTATTTTACTACCACGTTCTCCATTGTATCTAGTTTTTATATTGATTTTTTATTCACCTCCATTCTTCCTCCCTTTCTTTCTTTCTTTCTTTCTTTCATTCTTTCTATTTTACTACCACGTTCTCCATTGTATCTAGTTTTAATATTGATTTTTTATTCACCTCCATTCTTCCTCCCTTTCTTTCTTTCTTTCTTTCTTTCATTCTTTCTATTTTACTACCACGTTCTCCATTATATCTAGTTTTTATATTGATTTTTTATTCACCTCCATTCTTCCTCCATTTCTTTCTTTCTTTTCTCTTCTTTTCATTCTTTCTATTTTACTACCACGTTCTCCATTGTATCTAGTTTTAATATTGATTTTTTATTCACCTCCATTCTTCCTCCCTTTCTTTCTTTCTTTCTTTCTTTCATTCTTTCTATTTTACTACCACGTTCTCCATTATATCTAGTTTTTTATATTGATTTTTTTATTCACCTCCATTCTTCCTCCATTTTTTTTTCTTTCTTTCTTTCTTTCATTCTTTTCTATTTTACTACCACGTTCTCCATTGTATCTAGTTTTTATATTGATTTTTTTTATTCACCTCCATTCTCCTCCCTTTTCCTTTTTTTCTTTTCTTTCTATTTTTCGTTCTCCATTTTCTAGTTTTTTATTATTTTATTCACCATTCTTCCTCCCTTTCTTTTCCATTGTATCTAGTTTTTATATTGATTTTTTATTGATTTTTATTATTCCTCCCTTTCTTTCTTTCTTCCTTCCTTTTACTACCACGTTCTCCATTTTCTAGTTTTTATTTGATTTTTTATTTCCATTCTTTCCTTTTCTTTTTTCTTTCTTTCTTTCTTTCTATTTTATCACCACGTTCTCCATTGTATCTAGTTTTTATATTGATTTTTCTATTCACCTCCATTCTTCCTTCCTTCCTTCCTTTCTTTCTTTCTTTATTTCTTTCTTTCTTTCTTTCTTTCTTTCTATTTTATCACCACGTTCTCCATTGTATCTAGTTTTAATATTGATTTTTTATTCACCCCCATTCTTCCTTCCTTTCCTATTTTTCACCACGTTCTCGTATATCATTTTATATTGATTTTTCTATTCACCTTTCTTTTCCTTCCTTCTTTCTTTATTTTTCTTTCTTTCTTTCTTTTCTTTCTTTTCTATTTTATCACCACGTTCTCCATTGTATCTAGATTTTTTATTATTCTTGATTTTTTTTTATTCACTTTTCTTTCATTTTATCACCACGTTCTCCATTATATCTATTCTTCCTTCCTCCTTCCTTCCTTTCGTTTTCTTTCTTTTATTTCTTTCTTTCTTTCTTTCTTTCTTTCTTTCTATTTTATCACCACGTTCTCCATTGTATCTAGTTTTTATATTTTTTTATTTCATTCTTCCTCCCCATTTATTTTTTTTTCTTTCTATTTTACTACCACGTTTCTTTCTTTTTTTATTTCCATTTTCTTTCTTCTTTCTTTCTTTCTTTCTTTCTTTCTTTTCATTTTATCACCACGTTATTATATCTAGTTTTTATATTGATTTTCTATTCACCTCCATTCTTTTCCATTTCCTTTCTTTTGATTTCTTTCTTTCTTTCTATTTTTCGTTCTCCATTTTCTAGTTTTTTTGATTTTTTATTTCCATTCTTCCTCCTTTCTTTCTTTCTTTCTTTCTTTTCTTTCTTTCTATTTTTTCACCACGTTCTCCATTATATCTAGTTTTTATATTGATTTTCTATTTCCATTCTTTTTTTTCCTTTTTTCTTTCTTATTTTTCTTTCTTTTTTCTTTTCCATTTTTCACCAACGTTTTTTTGTATCTAGTTTTAATATTGATTTTTATTTCTCCATTCTTCTGTTCATTTTCATTTTTCTTTCTCTTTATTTTTGCCTTTCCATTATACGTTTTTATATTGATTTTTAATATTTCTTTCTTTCTTTTCCTTCTTTTTTTTCTGTTATGCTTTCTTTTTTCTTTCTTCATTTTATTTCTTCTTCTTTCTTTTCCTTTTCATTATGTTTCTCTTGTTTGCCCTTTTTCGCACTGTCTTAATTCGCCTTTATTTTTTAATATTTCATTCTTTCATTTTATTCATTCTTTCTTTTCATTTTTTTTTTTTCTTTTCTTTTTTTTTTTTTTTTTTTTTCTTTTTTTATTTTCTTTTTTCCTTTTTGTTTTATTTTTTTTCCTTTTTTTTTCATTTTTTTCTTTTGTTTTTGCCTTTTTTTCACCTTCCCAACGCTTTTTTTTTTCTTTTTTCTTTTATTTATTTTTTTTTCTTTCTTTCTATTTTTTCTTTTTTTTCTTTTTCCCATTTCTTTTTAATTTATTTCTTTCTTTTTATTCTTTCTTTTCTTTCTTTCTTTTTTTATTTCTTTTTTTTCTTCTTTCTTTTTATTTTTCCTTTTCGTCTCCCTCTCTCCCTCCTTACTTTTTCCCTCTTTCCTTATCTCCCTCTCTCCTTCCTTCCTTTCTACCTCTTTCCTAATCTTCCGGTCTCACTCACAAACACACACACACACACACACGCTCACACACATACATACACATTCACGTTTTCACTGCTGGTATTGTTTTTTTTTTTTTGTTTTTTGTTTTTTTTTATAATCGAAAATATTTTCGTCATTTCTTCTCTAAAGAACAAATATACCGAATAATCGTCCCGTGGTGAAAAATTCTCTTCAGACTAACATCTGCGAGATTGTAACACGAGACAGAAAGAGGCAAGATTTTTGCTAGAATTTTACAGTTAAACACTGAAGTGTCTAAAAATGGACGACCTGAGCTTTATATATCTCTTGAGAAGACGTTCAGCAGAAATCGATACGAAAAACAAAAATATACAATAAAGGCATGGACGCATTTTTTAAGCAAGACCTGATTAGTATATTTTGTATCATCCCTAATTTATTTTTAATTAAAACATATTTTCTAATATTGTTAGTTTAGGATGTGATTTTTATTTGCTTTTTGATTGCTTTGTTTTATTTATATATATATATATATATATATATATATATATATATATATATATATATATATTTGAATAAAAGACAGACCACGTTAAGATTCCATGTAATAAGTTATTTCACCATAACCCCTTTAACAGGTTTCTGGATCATCAGACTTTACTTCCAAAAGCTGAAATGAAAATGAAAAAAATTCACACGTTTTTTTACGGACCTCATCAAGTACGCAAAGTTAACGAAGTGAGGAAGTGAGGTGGGAGAGAGGATATGAGTGTGTCATATGTATCATTTTAGTTTCCTATTTTAACCCCAGTGTGTCGGCTGGATGTTGCTCAAATCTAACGCGTCTCGTCTCTAGATAAAGGTGGTTAAGGGGTTAGCGATAAGGACTACATTAAGGAAGACGTTCCAACAACCCCAATAAATTACACGACAGGTTTCATTCAAATTCTTAGACGCTGTCTCCCTTCGTGCTATTTAGAATTCACTTCCAATTGGAGAATATTAGAGGAGAAATTTGGAAGAGATGTCACTAGCAGAAAATTAGGCCCTTCTTTTACATTTTCTTATCTACACATGCCTTAGAACCCTATTTGTAACCACATACCTATATCGTCTTATATGCCTATGAGTTTCTATGTACACCTACACACACATTCACACGAAACGATATATGTATATTTCCATCTTTACACATATACACCTGCAGAGAAAACGCACATCCACATGTCTCCATACCTATCTCTATGTATACTTATACTTACATATATACATATACACACAAGGACATCTGCATATCCATATATACTCGTACGCACACATATATATCTACACATCCATATGTATACACATATACACATACATACACACACCCATATATGCATACGTACATACATACATATACATACACACACGCATATGCATACGCAATCTGCAGAATATCTACATACCCACATATGCGTTAATTTGCACTTACATATATCTATCCACGTATTTGTCCCTATTCTCATGTCCACCTGTGCATCCACTTATGCCTGCGTTCGAAGACTATCTCAGTATTTAATTATATTATCTATGTCTTTACACCTATAATATTACCCGATCTTTCATATTTATGGCAAAACATATAAGTACCGAACTAATTGTACATCTCCACACTCACAAAAAAAAAAAAAAACGGTATGCTTCTTTTTCCGTATAAAAACATATACATGTACATATCAACAGGTGTCTCAGTGTGCAAATACATAGTTGTATACATATAGTCATGTGTTAGCGTTCACGTGTGCATAGTAATATTTCTAAAAACAAAAGGGAATATAAAACATTCAAAATTGCTGTTCCTATATGATTATTTCTTAGTGTACTTGCTTAGGTTTAGGTTGTTTTTGTGCCGGCATTTAAAAACTAGTTGATTGTGTCTATTTAGTAGTATGTCTGGATCTTTATGTTTGATGATGAAGATTTTCTCCTTCAAACATAAGTTGCATCTGTCTCTGAAGTTTTTGGGAGTTCTGGCTCTTGATATTATTCTCCACTCTATTTGTGGTGTTAGGCCACTCTCCAACAAAAACCAATAATGATTTGATAGTGCTGTTTGGGGTTTTTTACATTTATTTTTGAAGGATTGGCGATGGTTAAGGGGTTTAAGGCGTGTGTAGATAAGAAAATGTAAAAGAAGGGCCTAATTTTCTGCTAGTGACATCTCTTCCAAATTTCTCCTCTAATATTCTCCAATTGGAAGTGAATTCTAAATAGCACGAAGGGAGACAGCGTCTAAGAATTTGAATGAAACCTGTCGTGTAATTTATTGGGGTTGTTGGAACGTCTTCCTTAATGTAGTCCTTATCGCTAACCCCTTAACCACCTTTATCTAGAGACGAGACGCGTTAGATTTGAGCAACATCCAGCCGACACACTGGGGTTAAAATAGGAAACTAAAATGATACATATGACACACATATATCCTCTCTCCCCCTCACTTCCTCACTTCGTTAACTTTGCGTATACTTGATGAGGTCCGTAAAAAACGTGTGAATTTTTTTTCATTTTTCATTTCAGCTTTTGGAAGTAAAGTCTGATGATCCAGAAACCTGTTAAAGGGGTTATGGTGAAATAGCTTATTACATGGAATCTTAATCTCAAACATATCTGCTCTGAATTTTACATTGAGCTCTCTGGATATCATCCTCCTCAGGTCTACCCATACGGATTACCTAAATTTGCATAAACTATATATATATATATATATATATATATATATATATATATTTGGTTGGATAGATGTGAGTTTGTGACCCTGGGTTTCACGCTTTAGCGATCGTCAGTACGCCTAACCACAACATCTGACGATCGCTAAAGTGTGAAACCCAGGGTCACAAACTCACATCTGTCCGACCAAATATGTTAGCTCTATCTCTGATATTGAGCGCTTTCTAATAAGTACCGCGCATATAATATATAAATAATTATACATATATATATATTTATTTATATTTATATACACTTTTCACACACACACACACACATATATATATATATATATATATATATATATATATATATATATATATATAAGTGAACATTGAAGTTAACACTTAGAATCGACAAACTGTTTCATGCTGGACGCAATCATCAGACGGCCTAACGATTACGTCCAATATGAAACAGCCTGTCGCCTCTGAGTGTTTACTTCAAAGTTCACTTTTATTTTTATATTTAAATCCGCTCTGTCTCTGATATTGAGCACTTTATTCCATAAATATAACACACCTTAAAACTATATTTCTTCATATATATATATATATATATATATATATATATATATATTATACACACTATATATATAATATGATAAAGAACAAATAGGAAAACCTTTATCAATCGAATATGTTTCACTTTATTAAACCTTTGTCAGATATTGAGAGAAAACTGACAAAAAGACATAAACATATATATATATATATATATATATAGTTTATATGCTCATATTTGTATATATTTTGTTCTCCCGATCAAAAGAAAATAAATGGAACATCTGCGAATTCTTCGAGGTTTCTGTCATGAAAAATTAATTGTAGAATTTTGGTATTTTTCTATAAATTTATTTCCAGTAGTCATTTCACGTTTTGTTCTTTTCTTCCTTTTGAAAAAAATAAATTTAAAATGTTCGATTATTTTCATTGGAAATATTTTTGCCAATTTTCACAACTTTTTCCTCTACTACCCGTGATAACAAATTACAACTTATTTTTGGTGGTGCCAGAGGTAGTTCTGTCTTGTATTCCTTTTCCAAAGGGCATTAGAGCAATTTTTTTATATTTCCCTGTCGGATATAAAATTCAGCTTCAATAGGGAAAGCGTATACGAAAGCAATATTATATTTTTAAAATCTGCTTTGAGTTTTTAAACAGTATTTACATATTTCTTTGTAATGCCATATTGATGGAATATTCAGGCCGGTAAACGAAAATAAAATACTGTTTAAAAAAGGAACAGAGCGTCTATTCATATATGGGTATCCACTAGATATAACGTTTAAAGTGATAAAAATATGTAGGATTTATAAATAAAAAAATCCATTACTGTTTTAGAGATTACTTTGTTTACGTTCGGATACGAAACAGAGCAGTTATGAACTTTCGCAAACCTAAAATGAGATGGCTGTGCTTAAAGGCATTTTTTTTTTTTTTTTTTTTTATGGCATCCGTCGGTCGCGAGAAAGACTGGATCTGCCCCCGGAGCGTTATGCCCTCTCTGAGGCGTAGGTCTGTGCATTTTTTTTTTTTTATGATAGATTGACAGTTTACCATTCAGCATGTTTCCTCTATAAACGCCACCGATGTTGTCCAAAGGAAAGACATATGACAGACAACGAATGTATATTATGTTTTAACATGAGCCTTATTTCTTCATATATATATATATATATATATATATATATATATTATACACACTATATATATAATATGATAAAGAACAAATAGGAAAACCTTTATCAATCTGTTTCACTTCATTAAACCTTTGTCAGACATTGAGAGAAAACTGACAAAAAGACATAAACATGTCCAAGTGTCGTATAATTTAGTTTCAAGAGAAAATAAAGTCAAAAACTGTACAACATTTGGATATTTCTTTATTATATTGGTCATCGATCTGAGCTTTCGGCTGACATGAGCCATCATCAGAATGGTTATATGGGCATAACAACAGAGATGTTCGCCGTTATATTTACGTAGAAGCTTGCGATGCGACGATAACAGAGGCGAAATAGCAGACGCGGGTCGTAAATTCGTAATGCTGTTCTATGACGTCATACAATGTGAGAGAAAGAAATGTTATCAATAGAATCATATGTTTAAATGCATTATATTTTGTCGTACAAACCATTATTAAATCATCTAAACTGTCGATGTTGTAGTGGGGAAGTCGAGACCCTAGGTCACGACTTCGTTCATTGCAAGTTGGTAGCTCCGTTGTGTAAGTTTCTTGAAAGCCTCATGGTTGGCATGTTGTACGG